CCAACTTGGCATTTCTATTAGTGTAAGCCAACATACTCAGAGTTTTAGGTGAGCTGCCGTGGAAGTCTTTTACATAGTAACTTCTTCCCTATCAGCTATTTGCCCCCAAGTACTGCAATCTTTTATGTACACTTGTGAAAGTTTAAAAGGACTAATAAAAATCTAGGTGTTTGATTCATAGAGCCACAAGCTTTCCACCCACATATATGAAATGAATTGAAATTCTTAACAGTAAAAAAAAAAAAAAAAGCTTGCCATTATACCTCAGCTAGCACTGGTTAACGTCCTCCACATAGCCTAAACACAAGAGATAAAAAATCTAAATTGGCACAGATTGCAAAGCGTTCTCTTGCCCAAAGAGTAAATCTCCTCTCCTTACATCACAACTGAGCCATACTCCCCATACAGCAGTGCTTATTAATTGTATCAGTTGCAGTGTTTTGTTGATAATACAATAAATGGAACAACTCTAAGATACTGTTATGATGTTAAAAAACACAAAGAACAAAAACATATTCAGCTACTGTTGACTGCAAGTATTAAAGTATTTATTAAATCAGAGGAGCTCTTTGAAACATTAACATGGAAAAATAAAACATTTGACTATTTTGAAAAAATATTTACTCAGTACACAAGTGCCTTCAGTACCACTACAGTGCATTTATTCCATACATAATTTATAAGGATATTTGCAGTGTCTTTTTGTGTGCTTTGCAACAACACATCCCAGACCACTAAACAGACAGTTGCAATTCATTGAGACTTCAGCAGTATAAGGGTTTATGAGCATCTCTGACATTACTGACAATGCTTGTTTCAAACACTAATCTCAGATTTACTTTTTCATGTGTACATTGATTTTTTGATTACATTTCTTGACAGGACCTCCTGTAACATCCTGCTTCATCCTCAGCGTTTTGCTACAAGCAAATCCACCAAGACCCATTTCTTGAATGCTGTGACAATGGTTGTGACCATCTACCTATCCACAAAAAAAAATTACATGGCTCTTTTTTGTCACCAGGCCTTTGTAGCCTGCATAGTCCGTAGTTACATAGCAGTTCTACACACAAGTGCAAAATGGACTGAAAAAGTGTATTTCTAATGTGGGAATTCTAATTCCTAAATGTGAAATGCTCAGTATCGGCCAGCAACCAGGGAAGACCAGACACCTTGTACCAGCTGAAAACCCACTGCAGGAGGTCTGGCTCCCCTCTGCTAGTCAAGTGCTGCAAGATGGAAACTCCACCAGTCAGAGCAAGGGTGATGAGCAGGAACAGCCGAGCTGCCAGCAGCACAGCTTTCCCTCTTTCCCAGAGCCCTGTGTTTTTCCATACCACACCAGGAAGAGATACTTCTGCCCTCCTTTCTGTTCTACAAACTCCAGTGCTCTTGGGTCAGCTGATAGCACTGTGATCACTGAAAGAATTCCAGATCTGCTTTAACTGCAAGCCCTTAAAACGCACCCAGGTGGTTTTCCCTGCACCACCACCCAGCCATGCTAGACTTCTGTTTTGTCATGCTGTTGAAGCATGGTTTGCAGTGGACTGGAATTCCCTCGATCCTGTGGAAGATCCATAGGAAGATGCATTCTGGCAAAGTGCAGTAGATTATTTTGAGATTGAAACCTGTCATCATGCAGTCACCCAACTGGAGCAGAGAGGAGGAGCTACTGCCAACATGTCCAGGTAAGGATTCTCCAGCAATTGGCATCTCTGTAAATCAGAACATTTTTTATTCATTGTCCACACTGTCTTCTACAACTGGAAACTCTGAGCTTTTCCACTGAGTATGTACAGCAATAGTCTTCAAGTTATTTTGCCTTCAATGCACTTATATTTACACACCAAATTAAATAAAACAATTATTTTTCCAACTAGTTTTGTAGGTGTGTCACTTATTTTGACTATTCTGTTCTTAAATCCTGCTTTTCAAATCAACATAGTCCATAGATTCGGTATTTGAATTGAGGTATTTGCAAAATGCCTACAAAAGTTTTTTACTGTTATAATTATTGTCTTTTCTTGTTATAGCAGTCAATAAAAGTTAGCTGCAAATTTTCAATGGAGTCCTAGCATAATTTCTGCTTACTAGGGAGATTTCCTTGGGGAGTCTTCTGTTGAGAAAATAAGGTTGGAAGAAAAACAGGACCTGCAGTGGAGTGTCTGAGTGAGGGGTTTGATACAGAATGGTTTGCAGACACTCCCTTGTTTGCTAGTGCCTTAAACAGAAGTTATGGAAAATATCTGTGTTCAGACTTAGATTGTCTCCCAGACACCTGCTGGGAATTTCAAATGAAACTCAAATTTCTTGCAGACCTCTTTCACATACCTGTGGTACCAGGTGTTTGCAGAAATCCTACCAAGAATATTTTCTGTGATTTTATGCATGTGTTTGTTGTAGAGGCAGAATTGCTTGTTGACCACACCGTAGGTGTATAGAGACTGTAAAAAAATAAATTCAATTGTGACCAACTGAAGTGACAATTAAATAATAGATGAATGTGGTTACTTTGCTGGAGGACTGTAATACTGACTCGCTTCTCATCTTTATTATTTTCACAGCACTCAGAGATTCCACAGGCATTTTGCTGAGGAGAATGATTTTTGCCCAAGTTCACAAGACAGTGTGAGGGAGAGACCAGGACAGGAAGAAGCAGAAAGGGAGCTGAAAGACTCGACCAGCACCCTTGAAGCATTATCACAAAGATAAATGACCACAGGACATTTGATTTTGGGTGGTCCCCAAAATGTTCACCCTATGAATTCTGCGTGCAGGACTTTACGGGCAGGCAGCATGCAGCTAGACATCAGACATTGCAGGGTCTTGGAATCAGGAGCTGCTTTTTTACAGCTAGCAAACATTATTCATAGGCCTCTTAGATGGTCATCTTCTAACTCTAGCCCATGAATCACAACGAAGCAAATTCTGGCAAAACTGCTGTGTGAGCTGGGACAGCAAATTGAGGAAAAGCCTTTAAGTCTAAATCTGTAGAAAAGGGACCGAGCAGCATCTTATCATTAATTAATATCGTCCCTTAATATTTTATAAGCATATAAAACAAACACACCTTTATGTTAAGTAAGGTCATTTTCTGCATTTAGGAAAAAATAAGTAACATTCCTTCCAACTAAAAACCTCACCTGCTTCACAAACAGACAACAAAAGTTCACCAAGGTGCTGGACATCAGCCAAGCCTAAGAAATACCAGGCAGAGGAACAAAGACAGGAATTCAAGTCCCTTGGTTTTTGCTTACAGCTCACTACGAGCAGGAAAAGCCACAGGACAGGTACCAAGTTTCTAAGCCACGTAACTGCACTTGGAAAAGTGGCCTTTCCCCAATTTTGTTCCAGTAGAATAGGGCACTAACTTTTGCTGATTTTGTAAGCACTTTTAACGAAGTGGGCTTGGCTGGTGGATTTTTCTTGACTCCCGAATTAGGTCATTGTGTATGAAAATACACTGGGCACAGGACAACAGGAAGCATCTGTCCAAAACATAGAGCTTTTCTGGGTATTTCCAGTTCCCAGGCCTCCATCACCACAGACCACAACCAGATCCAGATTTATGATGAGTTTATCCTCACATCATCTCCCACAATGCAGGAGAAGGCTATTGATTAGAGACTCAGAAAGAGCACGTAGTCTGGTCACCCAGAGAAAGCACTGTTGAACAGCCAGCCAAGCACTGAGTCCCTTCCCCACCTTCGGTCCAGCATAGATCATAGAATCCCTTTGGTTGGAAAAGACCTTTAAGATCATTGAGTCCAGCTATTAACCCTACTCTAACATACTCTGCCAAATCCTCCTTTAAGCCATATCCCCAAGCACCATATCTACACAACTTTTAAACACATGCAGGGATGGTGCCCTCCCTAGACAGCACGTTCCAATACTTGACAAGCCTTTCAGTGAAAAGGTTCTTCCTAATGTCGACTCTAAACCTCCCCTGGAGAAGCTTGAGGCCATTCCCTCTTGTTCTATCACTAGTTACTTGTGAGAAGAGACCAGCACCTGCCTCTTTACAACGTCCTGAAAGGTCAGGAGCAGTGCCTCTTTACAACGTCCTGAAAGGTCGGGAGCAGTAAGATCTCCCCTTAGCCTCCTTTTCTCCAGACTAAATAGCCCTATGTCCCTCAGCCACTCCTCATGACACTTGTTCTCTAGGCCCTTCACCAGCTTAGTTGCTCCTTGGACCTGCCCCAGCACCTTGATGTCTTTCTTGTATTGAGTTGCCTGAAACTGAACACAGTATTTGAGGTGTGGCCTCACCAATGCCAAGTACAGAGGGACAATCACCTTGCTGGTTCTGCTTGCCACACTGTTTCTAGCACAAGCCAGGATGCCGTTGGCCTTCTTGGCTACCTGGGCACACTGCTAAGTGTTACTAAGTGTAACATTTCAATCTATCCTGGCTACTCCCTCTTTATGTTTACATGCTAGACGTGTGGCTTGCCAAATCTTTACTTAAGCTTCATGTGTTTTAAAAACCTGTGTCAAGGTGCAGTTCTGAAATTCACTCATCTTCATTTGACTGTAAGCATGCAGCCTATGAAAGCAAAGTTTAAAAAATACCCCACAGTGGTTGCACCACCTCTGAAAGAAGCCAAAGGTGTAATGATTTGCAGTCTTTCATTTTCCCATGAAACTTTCTTCACTTGAACAACCCCAGGAGAGCAGTTTTGCAGCTGCTTCCCAGCTCTTGTTTGCCAGCAGCCTCCAAATGCTCTTCTGCCTCTGATGAATCGGACAGAAATGTCAGCAGGTAGATGATGCAGTATGTGGAACAGGTGCTGAGGCACTTTGGTGGCCACCACAAGGTAACTAAAGGACTTTGATGTGTTGGAAGGAGCAAAGATTTCAACCTGACTTCCAAAGGAGAGGTGGACGAGTTGTATCAGTACGTGTTTCTCAGCTTGTGGCTTTTGCTCTGTGTCACTCAGGTTGTCACACACATCACTGTACCTTAGGGCACGCAATACACGAACACCAACAGGCACTCAGCTTGCAGAATTTATTTAATAAAGTCTTTTCTGTTTTTAAAAAAGTTTACAAGACAGATGTGTTCCACATGATAAACAACTAGCGGCTGATCTTCCCTTTTAATAACTTAATCCATGCAGAAAGTCTCGACTGCTAAATGGTGCTAGGGAGCAGCAGAACAATATACCAAAATATACACAGATCTACACACTGCCGTGGGAACAGGTAGCACATGACACCACAGAGTGAGAATCAAAATACAAGCCTGCTTGGATAATTTTCAGAATTCAAGTGTAAGTTTAAGGAAAAACCCTGATTTATCTTTGAAATGGAGCTTATGTACTGACAGTAAATGTTCTGCTACAATCTGCCTACAGTCACCCTTTACTCAGCAGTCGTGTGAAAACACATACAGAAAATGTTACAAATCCATTTTACTACTGATATTACACATTAACAACTGAATCTGATAGCATTGCTTTGGTTGTCTGAATACAGAATGATACAGGTTTCTAACGTCTTGGTTCTCTTCTCCCACATTCCATTCTTTTCCAAAGTCATTGAAGAGTGGTTCTGAGGTGAATGTCTGTTGGGTCTCTCTTTAAGAATCCAGTGTAGCTTTTGTACAAGGAACTGTGGAAGGCAAATAAACAGGAATATTACTAGAGACAGAGTAGGATTCCTTCAAATCACGTAAAGAAAGTATCTTTATTGTCACAGCATGAAAATTAATGCTAGGCTATCAGTGTATCACATTTTAGAAACATCCATCTCCCTAGAATTTCAAATGCTACAGAACAGGTCAGACTGACCAAAGCACTGTGGAAGACCTGTGAACTCCTGCTCTCTGAAATGTTATTTCAACACACAACCCAGAAACAGTGGGGGTATCCCTGCAGCACAGCAGCAAGGCCAACTGTTGCTGAGAAATGGTACATCCTCACTTTATTTTGTAAGAACATATTCTCTTTCCCAATGTGCCTGCTCATCTTCAGTATTAAAAGAAAGCGGTGCACCAAGCAAGAAGCCAAAGAGAGCAGGACTCATGTGATTCCAGCTGTTGTAGGCTATGACAATCCACTTTTGACTGCAACTCAGTTAATGAATGGAACCATTTCACAGCGGGCTTCAAGCTGCTCTTCATGACACCAGGGAAAAACGGTGTGTGGATGTGAAAGTTTCTTTAATCTGTCTTCCAGGTCAATCCAAAACAAACTGACCTATTTTCAGAAATCTATTCAATGCCTTATGCAAAATCATTTATAGTAGTACCACACAGATAATATGAACGTTTTTCTACATTTTACTGAGAACAAAAATCATCCCCCAATGTCTGATTGCTAGGGGAATTCATGGATTAAATTAAAAAAAAAAAAAAAGAAAAAGAAAAAAAAGAGGCAACTTTCTGAGCAATGCATGATACTGAATTGTATAAATCACAAGCCAGACTGAACTCTAGGGATAGGAAAATGAGAGAAAGGTTAGACCATAATTTTGCAAAGCTGTTAATAATTAAACTGCATGGCCAGCTCTGGCCTTCAGTGTGCAGATGAAGGAAATAATACGTTCTTGAGTGACCAGACATTTCTGGAAGTTCAAAATCGGCAACGTAGCTTTTTTGGGGGTGGGCAGAGGGAAGGAAGACAATGAAAGCTGTGTCCTGGAGAATTAAAACTGATTGGAAGAGTATGATAAATACATATCTATATATGAAGATAATCCATGACTAAGGATTAGGGTCTATATTCAGTCTAACTTCATTCACTCACGTCCAGGCACAGCCTGCAGGTCAAGTGCCTGAATTACAGAATCACAGAATGGGTTGGGTTGGGAAGGACTTTAAAGACCATCTAGTTTCAGTCCCTCTACCATGGGCAGGGACACCTCCCTGGCAAGGGACCACAGTGCACAAGGCCCCATCCAACCTAGTCCTGAACACATCCAGTGATGGGGCATCTGAATTCAAGCAGCCAGTCTGGCTCTCAGTGCCTGGCCTTATGTTCTCGTTAGATGGTGAAGGTATATGAAACAGCCTGTTACCAAGCCATCCTGGGAACGAACTGAGGACATGGGTAGGAACCACAATAGGAAGTTGCAGTTCTGGCCTGTCTCCAGCCTCTAAAATGTTTTCCACTTCCACTGCTGAGGACTGTGTGTTATTTGTTATTGCAAATGGTGGAGGCTGTTCCAGAGCAACCCGCCTGATACAAAAAGAACCATGCATCTCCACTCTGAAGAACACAAAGCAGGATTCTGAGTTAAGTCACTGCTGTGCTGCAAAAGCAAAATTTTAAATTTCCTGAATCAGCCTGGAAACAGTCATGGCTGGGCCAGACTCACAGATACACACCTCCAGGCAAGCACACATCTGAGAAGAGACTTTCACCCACTTCTACGTTCGGGTGTGCCAACTGCAGGTAGGATCAGAGGTTACCCACCACCAAGACCATCAGAATTTCACATCAGCACTTCTAATGCAACTCTCTGCGTGTGCTGCTTCAGTGAAGCAGCCAGCATTAGGAGGCTGCCCAGCAGGAGGACACAGCTGTACAGAGGGGTGGGAAAGCCAAACCTGAGGCCTGCTTTGGCTGAGCTACGGCTCTCTTTCCGAAGACACATCTCCTTCTGCTCCACTGCTTGCACTGGGGTCATCCTTGTTACGGGGGGCACTTCTTTCTCTACTTGACTCAGAGGGCACCTTGGTTCTGGTCTTCTCTTTTCTTTGTTGCTGTTTTTCAAGTTTTGTCAGCTATTCATAAAGTAAGAAGAGGAAGAAAACACTTCATGGAATAAAATAACTTTAGAAGACTCTTTTAAAAAATTGTAAATGTCAGCATTTGTATAAAACTTGCAACTCAGATTCACAACACCAATACATAGATCAATAAAACAGGCGGGGAAAAAAAATCCCAAGGCTTCGATTTTCATAAATTTGGAGAAGACAGTGAAATATCATCATACACTAACACGACCACCCCCGAGTATAAAAAAGAAGTGCACGTATTCAAAGGACCACCCTCAGCTTTCCAGCATTCCTTCTCTGCACAACATAGTCCACAAACATGTAAAAGACTAAAGCTCAGGGACCAAAAGGGGGAGCTGGCATCCACCAAACTCCTCTTCTGCTTTGGGTCTTGAGTGGCAGTTTTGTAGTTTCAAAGTTGCTGACAGTAGATGTATCCCAAATTCAGCTATCCAGCACAGAAGAATGAATTTATTTTATTCTTTATTCATAGAAAGAGATATATGAGCCTTAGCAACACCTAGGATATAGAATAACCATTTCAAATCAGCTTGGATAAAAGCCTCTGATAACACTGCTCTCCCACCTCTCAGTGGAAATGTTTCCAGTGCTACTAAGAGTCTACATCTCTTTCCTATTTTTCAGGTTGCAGTAAATTTTGGGGACGCTATGTATTGATAGCTACTTAAATGACTACACTTTGTGCAGTTTATCAATTTGGATAATTTCTGTAATCTACTGATTTTCTCTTCTACTTCCACAATTTCCCCAAGATAAAGTATGCTAGTCATAAATCATAATTTCATGGCCAAAAGATCTCTTCTGAGGTGAAATCATCAGAGAATAAAAAAACTACATCGTGTGTGAAGATTATGAATTAGGCTCCCGGAATATGCACACAGAGACGTAAATCTGGGCTCCAGTCAGTAGGAGCTAAGGGCACAGACTGCACAGCCTTGGAGCCATGTACAACCTGCACCTTATCCCCACAACACATCCTCCTTGAACACCTGCACACACGGACGTGTAGCCTGGCCCAGGAAAGTCTTGGCTGGCTGTTTCAAAACTAAAACCAGTTTATTTTTACGATGTGAAGCGACAAGAGTATGCTGGCTTTGTCTAGCATGATCCAGTCCTCAAGTGACGTGCACAGATGTAACAAATAATATCAGGCATGACAGAGGCAGTATTTTAACTCCCATGTCTGACAATGTCCACACTACTCTTCTCCCAACAAGCTTATATTCATAGCACGTGAATGTTAGTGGTAACTGAGAAAGGGAGTGCATCTGCAGGAAGGGAAACAAAAGTTCCTGAGCCCCTAGTATTAATGGTACTCAGCCTTAATTAAGGGTACTCTCGTGGCCTCTATGCAGTTGGGGGTTATTTTTGCAAATGGTATCTGGGTTATCCAGCTGTTGAAATTAGAATTGGGGTTTTGATGATCTTCATGGTACAAAAATGTATCAGAGGAAGGAAGGCACTACATTAGCTGCTGGCTACAGAGAATTGAAAGCATAGTTCCTAGTTTTTAAAATATAGATTTGTACACATAACTAACAATGTCCACAAACCGTGTGGACAGTGCTTTGTCCCCAGTAACTGACCAACATATAAAGTAATAGTTTTGAAAAAGGTCAGAATTTACATTTGGGTTGACAGCTTCTTTGACAAATTCTAGCCTGATACTGTTTAAGAGTACATCACAGCTATGAAATTCTAAAAATTTAATAATTACAGTGGAAAGTTAAATTGCACTGTGAAAGAAAGATTCACCAAGGTAGAAATGTCTGTGGTTACGTCATTTGTAATACTACATCATATCACTTTTGCAATCAATTTGCTGGAGCAAAAATGCACACTCAGTCCCTCACTTGAAAATGTTAATAGCTCTCTAAGTTATTTGCTTTGCTGAAGTTAATTTCCTCATGTTAGGAATCAGATACTTAATTTTCTTCCCAGAAGAAACATGGGCAGCACACAATGAAGTTACACTATAAGGGCCCAGCCTGAGGCAAGAAAGGTGCTACCAGCCCTTCATTAGTTAGCCTGGTCTAACTCTCTGCCCAGGGTCTTGGAAAAAATGTCTAGCCAAGCAGTTTATCAGCTGCATGGCTTTCCCACTCATTTTCCTTAACCTCTCTTTGTCACCAGTGATAAAGGATAACCAGCTGAGCTCCTGTTATTTTCCTCACCAAAACTTTCAGCGTAAGAAAATGAACTCACAAGTTTTGGATTTGCTTCTTCAAATTAAGCCCAAAAGCAGTGCAACTAGAAAAAGAGAAACATCGAAGCTGGCAACATCTAGAAAAAAATGCCAGGTGATGGTGCCAAGGAGAAGACTGCAGTTGATTTCTCATAATGGTGCCTATGTTCACGTGTGGAGCAAGAAAATGTAGGTGACATAAAACAAATTCAAAGACAATTGGAAAAATCCATTCACCGCAGACACAGGCCCTTACTGTACAGTCATCTACCATAGTTTAATACCATCAATATTTGACACCAGCTCTTAGGACTGTGCTACTGACCACACAATTCCAAGACAATCACCATGTCTCCCTAAAATGAAAATGCAAGCTGAAGCAACACCACACTTGGGGAACTGAAAATACCTTCAGCTACATTATATTAAAATCTTCTAACTGAAAAGTGATAGAAAAGTTAAAATACTATATTGGAGGTTTCTCCACATTCACCAGAGAGATCACTTTTAGCTATACAGTTATGAGAAGTGTTTTAAGGCATAAATAATAGAATATTTATGTGGAATTCCTTTAATGAATTTTCTATCATCAAAATCCTTCTGGCATTTAAAAATGTAAGGTACTTAAATGTCAGTCTTGAGAAGTTCCTCTCTCATTCAAAACAATGCCACTTCCAAGGAGCATTATATTATTATTTACTCCTCATACTGATGAAGTATGTGCATGCTGCTTTAGAGTACTGATACTGGCAGGTTCAGTAACAAAAATCTTCTACAAGGATTTCACATCTTATCCCTCCCACTACAATGTCCAGTCCCAAAACAGGGTTTAAAATACAAAGATCCACTCTAACGCTTTCATTCTTACACCTCTCACTACAGTGTCCAAAATGTGTAACCAAAATTTGGGTTAAAATGTAGCTTATTCCATTCTCAACAGTGATGGCACCAACGGGCCCACAGAGATCAGTTCTCTGTCTAGTGAGAATAGATGCATTAAACACTGAAACTGCTATGCCACTTCTCCTAGCAGGAGAAATAAAAATGCACAGAGTATTTCCTAGCTGAATTCTGTAAATATCCAAATACTTTCAAAGTTCAAGAAGCTTTTCTGAGCTGTCACCATGTCACCTCCCCAAGCATAGTCTAAAACCTCTTCCCACTCCATTTTTGTCTGGCTACTTCTATTAGCTACAAATTCCCAGGAAAAAAACACAAAACACATCTCTCTAACCTTCCCCAAAACAGGATATAAACAGACAAAGCATTCTGGGCATAGCTAACCTAATCTCAGCAATGATCACAACAAACTTCGTCAACACAGCACAAAAATTTGCTACATTTGCTGTATGAGGAGGACACTTTTTAAAAAATTATTATTTTCTTTATTATTTCTGTGATTTATACCTCTAGCACAATGAATATAAAAATATATTTGGATTAATTCATCCAAATGTATTTTTACTAATTACATCACAAAGGAATTATAAAGATCAGATTACCAGCTGAAGCCACAGAAAATCACTTCAAATCAAGGAGGCATTTCACTGTCACATCCAATGACAGAACAGAGCTGTTCATCAGCAATTATTTGGCTAATCTCTTTCTGTTAACATCACATTAAACACCGCGGGATGGTTTATTTATCTCTTCTTGCTAAAGCACAAAGGTAAAACCCACATCATCTCTAAGCCTTAGTGCCCATTCTACAGGCAAATCAACAGACTGTATGACAGCAAAAGAAAATGCAATGGGCAGGGAAGAGAGAGGAGAATGACACATTTAAACTGGTTCTTCCTCACCCTACGTCTTGTATGCTGGGTGAAAGAACATGGCACACATGTCACTATCAGGAAAGGATGCTTAAGAGTGTCAGAAACAGCAGTGCCTCTGACAGTGTGTGTCAAGGTCCAGACACGAGCTGGAAAAGGTACTCAGTCAGTAACAGTTAAAAGAGCTGCCAGTTTTCAAATAAATGGGGTTCACTGAAACATGGCACAGATTAAATTCTTTGTGCATCCAAAGCGAATGCAGCTGGATTGCTTCAGAGGTATCTGTGCCACTGTAAGAGCTCATGCACTGCTGTCACAAACTAGAATCTCCCCCATCAAGACTTTCAATGACCTGGAATTGAGGGTGGCTCATGAAATAGGTGTGGACAACTCACTGCAGAAAGAAGGTAACCAAACTGACATCACCCTTATTCTCATAAAGACTGTCCAGAACCCACTCAGACTCCATCTGTTCTCCTTTTTATAGGGTCCAGACACAGGCTCAGTAAGAAAATACCTGGTATAACCTTACCTTTGGAAAAATGACAGTGCTCTAAGCACATCTTGCACAAGAAGCCTCATCTTTGCTGATAGAGAATGAGATTTAAGGAAGACAGGAAGGCAATCAGCAGCCAAGACTGAAGCAGAGTCATTCACATTAAAAAGAAAATTCACACTATATGAAGCTTAAAAAACCAGCATGCTTCCCACTCTTCAGCCCATGTTATGGCCACCAGGAAGGTGTTGTCAGAGGGGAAAAACAGGCAACTGTGAGGGCAAAACCCTTAAATAATCCAGTGTTCCCCAAGAAAGAGATGGAAACTTCCAAAATCCAGCACACCCTGGTGACTCCTCCTGGGTTACTTCACCCACACACGGGACAGCAGGGGTAAAAGCTCTCTCAGCACACTCAATGCCAGTCAGAAACTGCCCGTGCCTTCAGTCACACACCTATCTCACACCAATGGCTCCCACTAGCCTGCTTCAGCAAAACAGACTGGTCACCAGCTTTGTGTTAGGAGACCAAGACACCACAGGGCTCCATTTCCCAGTCAGAGGCAGCAGGACACGATGGTGCCATCCATCCTGCCTCCAAAGCCCCCAGCTGCAGGCTACAATAAGAGCTGCTATACAAGGGAGGTGGCCAGCTGCACCCGAGGCAGAACCACGCCCGGGCACGGAGAACTTGTGCAGTCAACACGGAGGGGATGGCTCTTTGCCTATCTCACAAAGAGCTGGCGTGGCAAAAGTCAGCACTGCCACAAGTACCACAACTCAACCTCAACCTTAACAAGTCTATGCCATAAACATGGCACCTGAAAACAGCTGGCCAGAACTCTCTTGAGGATGAACAGTTCAAAGGGGACATCAAATCACTCAATTTCTCTGCCCTCCAGCTTTCTGCAGGCTCTCTTTGCCAGGCAGTCAGGTAGCAGCATAATTCATCCAAGTAGGGATGTAAGTACTTAAAATCTACAATCATTCCTCACTCCAAAGACAGAGCTGATGCTGCTAATTATGCACAGTTTGGGCTGAGAACTCTTTGTTCTAAAGCTCTGAGGATACAGAAAGGCCAGGACCAGATGTAGTTGTTTCAGGGGCTAGAACATTGCAAACAGATACAGAACAGAATTTGGAGGTAAAATGAAACAGATCCTAAACCAAAATACCTTGGCAATTTAAGGAAACGAGGTGCTTCTTTAGGCTTTCCCATGCTCTTTTCCCAGTAGGTTCCAAATGCCTTTAGAATGGTATTTTGAGATATGAGAATTCCCAGGAGATGCAGAATTCCCACCAATTACAGTCACCAGCTGCACTGCAGTTATCACAGAACCTATGAGCAGCGTTTGAGAGCAGGTATAAACATACATGGCTAACTGAAGAACCCAAATGTCTCATTTTTAATTCAGAAGAGTGATGGTCAGATGGCAACTCAGGGACAGACCTGATAAGCAAAGTGGTTTTGCCTGGCTGGTCAACTGGTCAGGTAATTTGAAAAGAACACTGTACATGGGACAAACTGCAGCTAGAAAGACAGAAGTGAATAGAATAGAACAGAATAGAATAGTTTCAGTTGGAAGGGACCTACAACTATCGTCTAGTCCAACTGATGACCACTTCAGGGCTGACCAAGAGTTAAAACATGCTATTAAGGACATTGTCCTAATGCCTCTTAAACACTGGCAAGCCTCTGGGATTGACTGCATCTCTAGGAAGCCAATTCCAGTGTTTGACCACCTGCTCAGCAAAGAAATGCTTCCTAATGTTAAGTGTACACCTCCCTGGATGCTTTCAACCATCCCCACACATCCTACCACTGGGTATCAGGGAGAGGAGCTCAGCACCTCCCTCTCCACTTCCCACCTTCAGGAAACTGTGGACAGCAATGAGGTCACCCCTCAGCCTCCTTTTCTCCAAAACAGACAAGCCTAAAGTCCTTAGCCATCCCTCACGGGACATTCCTTCCAGCCCTTTCACCGTCTTTGCTGCCTACCTCTGCATGCATTCAAGGACCTTCACATCCTTCTTAAACTGTGGGGCTCAGAACTGCACACCGGACCCAACGTGAGGACTCACCACTGCTGAATACAGAGGGACAATCACCTCTTTTGATCGGCTGGTCATGCTGTTTGATGCACCCCAGGATGAGCTTTGCCCTCTTGGCTGCCAACTGCTGACTCACATTGAGCCTGCTGCCAGCCAGCACCCTCAGATCCCTTTCAGCAAGGCTGCTCTCCAGCCACTCCTCTCCTAATCTATACGTATGTCCAGCATCAGTTCATCTCAGGTGCAGAATCCAGCATTTGCTCTTGTTAAACTTCATGCCATTAATGATTCCCCAGTGTTCCAATCTATCCAGACCATCTGCAAGGCCTCTTGTCCCTTGAGACAATCAACAGCACTTCCAAGTTTAGTAACATCAGCAAACTTACTAATGGTGCATTTAACTCCTGCATCTAGATCATCAATAACAATATTGAACAGAATTGGCCCCAGAATTGAGCCCTGAGGAACACCACTGGTGACAGGTCACCAATCAGATGCAGCCGCATTCACTACAACCCTGTGAGCTCTGCTCTCCAGCCAGTTGTTCAAGCAGCATACCATGCACCTGCTCCTCCCACAGCTGGACAACTTGCCCAGAAGGATGCAGTGAGGGAAGTATCAAAAGCCTTATTAAAACCCAGAAAATATAAATCCACCACTTTCCCTTCATCCACTAGGCAGGTGACGTTATTGTAGAAGGGTATGAGGTCAGTTACACAGGACTTTTCCTTCATGAATCTGTGTTGACTCTGCCTGGTGACTGCACTGTCCTTTGAATACCTTTCAATAGCACACAGTATAGTCTTCTCCATAACTCTTCCAGGTACTGAGGTTAGATTAACAAGTTTGTAGTTTCCTGGTCCTTCCCTCATGCACTTCTTATAAACTGCAATAACAATTTTAACAAGGCTAAGTGTTATACAGATAGGCTTGGTGTGGCCTTGCTGAAGCAGAGCTGGCAATAACAATCCTCCCCCTTCTCTTTCAGCCTGGAAAAGCTGGTCACTGCCACGTTGAGAGGATGAGAACACCTCATTGCTGCATTAGGTTTTCAGCATAGCCTGCGCTGTTCCTCAGCAGAGCTAACCCTCCTCTGCACTCCAGACTTCAATTCAGGACCTGAATTTGTGACACCCTCTGGCACCATGTTCTCTTGTTTCTGAGAAAGAGGCAGCTAATCATTCCATCCAGCCACCCACATGCAAAAGCCCCCAAATGTTAAGAAACCTCACTAAAGAAAAAAGGGGGAGGCGGGTCCAGACACATTAAAAACACAGCTAAAGAATCATGATTAAAGAGCAACTTTAATGATGGGCAAGAATAAACTCTAAAAAGCTGGTTTGTAACTTTTACCAGTACAGCAGGCAGCTATCAACAGGCCAGGGAACTGAAAAAAACAGTGGAATTATTTAACTTTTTAGAGGCTGGACAGAAAACACAAGCTCCTCATGCCTAAGAAAGGCATACTGCTTCATCACAGGAATGCTACAAATCCACAGAGGAGGCACAGCCTATACACCCATCCTTTCCAGGCAGATCTTCTAGCTCACTTACCTGTTTAGGGTCAACAGTGGCAGCTGGGGACTCCAGTTCTATTGTAACAGGGCCATCATTCTGGATATGTACCTGCATGTAGGCACCAAACTTGCCATCTGAAAACGGGAGAGGCAAAAAAGTGCTGAGGGCTCTTGGAAGGATAACACATATCAAAATCTCTACCAAATTGTGCTACTGAAAAGGGAAAAAAAAAAAAAAAAAAAAAAACACATAAAAGGAGAGCCAACTAACAAACTGCAGAAAGCTACTAAGCTACTAAGAAAAAAATCAGTCTGTGTGCACTCAGCTATGTGGGCTGACATTCAGAGATCATCAATATGATCAATATGCAGCTAAGTACAGAGATGTCCACAAAACAAACCAAGTCTATGGATAATCAAAGCGCTCACAGTTCAGGACAGGCAGCAGATTAAATTTTAAAGGTTTGTAACAGTTTAGCCTAGGGTTAAGCTTAGCTAAACTAGCCAAGCCAGTCCAGCTAACCAGTTACGTTTTGAAGAAATACTATGTATAGGTGTCCTGGTTTGGGGTAGAACAGAGCTAGTTCAGTTCAGAGATTTTACTGCTCAGCTAA